CAAGCGCAAATACTTGGAAGCTGATGGCTTTGAAGCTATGGTCTACTGCAGAACTCTCAAGTCCCTGAACCTGGATCTTTGAATGTTACTCAAGGTCTTATCCCTGTACTGCCTGCTTCTGAACTGGGTAATCCATTAAAATGGAGATTCCCAGCCTAACCCCACCCTATTGAATGTGGACTTCTGGGCTGGGCCTGGGAACATTGGATTTTAACCCCAGGTGATCCTGGTTAAATTTGAGGTCCAAGCTTGGGCTGCCCACTCCACTCGACTCATTTCCTTCCTGGTCACCCCACACTGGAGAGCAAAGACACCCTCCTCTCTACACTGAGGTCACAGAGTCAACACATCTCCAGTTCATTTCCTGTTAGGAAACAGTTTGAGCATAAGAGATGCCTAAATACCAAGATCTCAGGGGCCTCGCAGATGTCATATCAACTTCATGGCACACAGTGAGAAATTTCCACCCAGAGCCACAAAGAGGAAATTCAAACAAACTCTGAGGCTGTAAAGGGTGGGTCACTTGGCCTAGGTGACCAGGAAAGTCAACAGGATTTGTTTTCATCTCAAGAAGATATATCAAAATACAAGTTCTTTTCCACATGTGATCTTGTTCGCTTCTGGAGGGTGAAGGGAGAGTATGGCGTGGAGTAAGATGATAGATGGTGAATAAAGTGCATTCAACACACTCCGTTTTAATCCTATCACCCCAAGTTCAGATACTTTTTTCTCAGTCTCCAGAATGTACATCTGGAAATAGTACTATCGTTTCTTGTACTTACTATGATTGAAACCCCTATTACACAAATCTCCTAATTAATGTGAATTTCCTAGAAACAAGGTTAAAAAATAAACACTCTATTTGGGAACCAAACAATGATTTCTTTCCATTTTTATGTTTCCTATGCCCCTATGAACCACCACCCCCCAAAACAAAACAAAACCCTCAATGGCCCTATACTTCTATGTCAGTCCCTTCGGAGCAGCACATTTTCACACCTTTTCTTACAGGTTTTCAATTTAGTTCATGTTTAAAATCCATGTGGGCCAGGTGCAGTGACATCTGCCTGTCATCCCAGGAGGCTGAGGCAGGAAGATCACAAGTTCAAGGTCAGCCTCAAAAATTTAGTGAGACCCTGTCTCAAAATTTGAAAAAAATAAAGAGGACTAGGGATGTGTTTCAGTGGTAAAACAACCCTGGTTTAAATTTTAAATTCCAATAAATAAATAAATAAATAAGAATGTGAGTTTTCATAGCAAAAATGAGATGGGGGAGATGGGGGAGGTGGGGGAGGGGAAAGATGTGCAATGAGAAAGGGAAATATAAAACAATGAAAGAGAAATGGATAAATGATCAAGTTCTTTCTAAGCTCCATGAAGAAATGTGATCCTATTAGATGCCTTAAAAAAAGAACAGTAACAGTCCAGTACTATGTGCCAGCTGCTGTGTGGGCACTCCACATAAATTCATTTATTTAGACTTCAAAGCTATGTCATACAGTAAATATATTTTCATTATCCCACTTATCAGATGAGAAAGCCAAGGCTCAGAAAGGTTCAATACCTTTTCCATAATTACAGAGCTATCATGTTACAAAGCCTTGTGCATGACTCCCGTGGCAAATGCAAAGGTATCAGAGCCACAGAGCACTTAAGCTGACCACCCAAGTCTGCAGGGTCAAAACAAAAAAGCACTCTTGCAAACACCTCAGTGTGCTCCTGCCCAGGAATCCATGGGATTGAATGATAAAGGGCTATGTAAACCTAAAGTGCTTTTTAAATATGAGACCTTGCATTATCACCTAAGGCAAACAGTCAATTCCCAAACAAGAATCCAAGAGTACCAGTGTGGCTGGGGCTTACTTTCTCTAGCAGCAGTTCTCCACCTTCTTTTCTACCTTAAAACATTCAAGAGAATGAAAAGGCAACTAAGTTGGTTTTTAAGACCACGAAAAGCACTAATCATAAAGAAAAAAACAGGTAAGTTCACCAAAATGAAGAACCTGTATTCATCAAAAGCTAGTAGAATGAAAAGGTAAACCAGAGAGAGAAAAAATATTTGTGATATATACATATCTCCAATAAGACTCTCATCCAAAATAAATACCTACAAATAAATAAGGGGATGGGGTAAAACTGAACAACCCAATCCAATAAAAGACTTAAAAGGCACTCTATAAAAAAGAACATCCAAATTGCAAATAAGAATAAGAAATAGGACCCAAAATGATTACTCATTAGAGGAATGTAATTAAAACCACAGCGAGATATAACAAACACCCTCCTGAATTGATAGCACTAACAAGGCCACTGATACCAAATAGTAGCAAGGATGACGAACAACTGAGACTCTCATATACACTGCTCATACAACAGATAAGTTGATAAAACCACTTGGGCACT